AATATGACTGGAGGCAAATTTACACTAAAGAGTATGGTGCGATTCAGGGGTGACAGTCCCGATTTGTTTAAAGCCTTTGACAATGATAAAAAATAAATAAATTTAATTTCAAACAAGTATTCAAATAAAAAATATTTTTAAAGTTGAAAAATAAAATATAAAATATATAACATAATACTCCCTCCGTCCCCAATTTGATTACAAATTGAGGTTTACGAGGAAAAAATTATTACTTTTTGAAATCATTTTATTTACAAATTGGTATATCAATAAGAAATTAAAATTACACATTAAAAAACTACGTCAAAAATTTTACAAAACAAGAGGTGACAACAATATTTTATTTTCTCAAATACTTAATAAAATCGTGTAAATAAAAAAAATTATCAAGAGGAGATAGAGAAAAAAATTGTAATCAAAATGAGGACAGATGGAGTATAATTATGATATTTCAATATTTTACCTGTATATGTTTTTAAGTGGTTATTTTTTTACTTTTAAACTAAAATTTTCTTTTTCAGTGGGGGAAAAAAAAGAAAACATATATATTTTCTTTTTCACCTCTTAGTTTAAAAGTAAAAAAATAACCACTTAAAAACATATACAGGTAAAATATTGAAATATCATAATTATACTCCATCTGTCCTCATTTTGATTACAATTTTTTTCTCTATCTCCTCTTGATAATTTTTTTAAGTGGTTATTTTACCCCGTATTCATACATGTAGATCCACCCCTGCTAAGAGGTGTTTCATCTCCAGCGTGGAATACCTTAGAGCATAAATATTTTTGCTAGAGCATAGATATTTTTGCTAATTGTATACATGTCTTTTTTGCATATTATTACTTTTTCATATGGATCGTCCGAGGGGAGTCGCTCAAGTATGGCATAGGTTGATGTGACAAAGTCCAGATGTATTTTCATTTTCGTTGTTGTAATGCTCAAGCTCGCTTGAATATTACTCTTCTATTTTCCCCCCAATATTCTTAATAAATCCTTTGGCATTTTTATGCAAAAAAAGGGAGAAGATGTTCGAAACAGTTGAGATTCGTTTTAGTCAAAAAATTGCCAAAGGTAGAGATTGTTAGTTCTATATTGTGTTGACATTATTTTTTGACAAACGAATAGATTTACCTAAAATTATTTTAGATGTTTTATTTAGAGTTTGAGTCTTAGCATGTGCAGAAAGAGAAAGAAGAAATAGCTTGAAGAGAAAATTCTAATCCTACTGGGTTTCTTTTTCTCGAGGAGGAAGCCATAGTTGAGACTCCTAAGTACACTCTAACATGTTAGAAAGCATTTTCACATTGATGTTTTGTTAATGGCAATGCTTGTTTTCGTTTAGATTTTGATATTGACAAACCGTCAAAAACTTGGGACAAAATGAAAAGACTCAAAGTTATAGCAAAAGCTATTTGAAGGGAAAAAAAGCACAAGAAAGACATTGACGTTTCTAAAGACAACGACATTGGCGTTTCGAAGACGTTATCTAAATACTTAGGTTTTTATTGTAACAAGCTCATTCAATTTCTCTAAGTCATGGATCAAAATAAAATATGTTTTTCATGCATAAAATGAGTGTTTTCATAAATGGTTTTAAGTTTCTAAAACCCCTGGTTCTTGCCCAACCAAAACCATAACCATTAGTTGTCGGCGTTCGGCTATTACGTTCGATTTTCGGCATTTGTTATTGGCATTGATTTTACCAAATGGTTTTTGACTTTTTATCTTTGTTTTTTTATTCTGAACATATTTAAAGGTTTTCCAAATGATTAGTTTTCAAAAACCATAACCTTTGTTTTCCGGTGTTGGTTATCGGCATTCGACGCTGGTTATCGGCGTTGGTTTTTGGCATCCAAATCAATCAAGTGGTTTTTAAGATTTTATGATTGGGTCTTACTTCTTGGAATATCCAAATAGTTCTCCAACAAAAACGCTTTAAAAACCACCTTTCGTTTTTGATCTTTTCGTGAAAAACATGTGAAACGGCAAAAACTTGGCTAGCCGTGGTTTTTACCTTAATGAAGTGGTTTTTAAGTTCTTATACTTGGTTTCTACATAAAATACGTTATATAAGAGTTTCCAATACTTAGTTTTCATTTTGAAGAACTTTGGTTTTTGACATCGGTTTTCAGCGTTGGCTGCCAAACCATGGTTCTGGCGAACCAGCCCAACAGGGATGTCGGAATTCTCAACATCGATGTTGGCATTTAGAGTTCTGGGCAGTAGGTTTTTGAACAACGATGTTCAATTGTGAACAGTGATGTTTTCAAATGACCGTTGGGCTATTTATGACAAAATCTTTCCATTTTTGAAAGTCAATCACCCCAACATCGATGTAGACTTGTAGACATCGATGTTTTGATGACCGTTAGCCATTTTTGAAGCAAAGTAAAAGCCAAAACAGCGATGTTCACTATATGAACAACGATGTTAGGCTAAAATTTTGTAGACCAACTTTGAATTGATTTCCACAAATCATGTCATTAAATCCCAATCAACTCCCATCCATTACACATCATTTTTGGGTATAAATAGGGGTCTTTTGGGTCTACTTTTTACAACCATTACTCACACATTTCATAGCTTTACATTGCATCATTCCATAAACTTTTTACATAGTTTTTTTTAGAGCCATTTCTTGAGAAATTGAGTGTGTTCTTGATCTAAATTAGTTTATTCATATTCTACTCTTTAAGAGAGTTTTTGTTCTTGAGTGGTTAAGTGTTGTGAACACTTTAAGGGAGGTTTGTTCCCTTGGTTGTACGAAGGAAGGGCATATTCCTTCGGGTTCAAGTCTTGGAGTGCGGTATCTCCGAACAAGTGTATTGAGGCTCGTGGGACTCGAGTTCTCAGGTTGTAACGATTTGTTAAGCACCTGAAAGCTTAATCGAAGTAGTTTAGTTTGAGAGCGTCTCTCAGGAGGCTGGACTAGCCACAAGGTGTGGTTAAAGAGGGTAAATTTGGTGTGTTCTTTCCTTACGCTTTTTTATTCCGCTCTTTACTTTATTCCTGCAATTTTTATTCCGTGAAAATTTATAAACGTTTTCGTGCCTCACTATTCACCCCCCTCTAGTGAATGACACTTATTTTAACATACCAGGGTTATTCTATTCCATATATTATCTTCGCCTTCCCTTACAGTTTTGGGACGCGAGAGTATTGATTTAGAAAAAGAATAGGAGCATATCCGATCAAAAAAAGGAAAAAAGGTGTAGATTTTCTGGACAGCCTGCATGAATTTGATCATCGCTGGAGATCTGATCGTTGGATTTAGCTAAAAATTTCAGGGAGTGTTACCAACACATAGGTCTTTAATCTGTTCAATTTTCATGTCAATTTCAGTTACGAATCTTCTGTTATCGCAGCTGGTGCAGCCTGCGTTTTTGGGTGATATTCCTAATTTTTCCTCTCTATTGTTGATGGTTCTTATGTATGCTGTTGTTGGTGAGCTGTAACAAGCCGTGGAGATAGGCGAAAACAGAGTTTGTCGTAAGTCATTCGTAAGTAGACAAATCAATACATTAGAAGGTGATTGGTGTGTAATTTTTACGCCGATTTAGTGGAAGCGCTGTTACACGAACGTGAGACCCGCAGACGTAAGAGAGTTGCTCCGAATTGCGTAAACAATTCTTGTGTACTGTTTCCTTCTTTTACTTAATATTCTGTGTATGTGCTTGTGACAAAGAAGATGTTATAGCACTCTGTCTGTCATCTGTTACTGTGAGAGTGTTGCAGTATCTTCTCTATAGCATAGTTGTTTCATTTGTTTGCGTAACTTTCAATTGGTGATTTCCGCTGCACCCCCACGAAATTACACCTTCATCTAAAAATTATCTTCCCGTTCACTATTCACATAATCAAACTTTATTCACTTTATTGACATATTTTCGTTGCTCATTTGATAAAATAATATACTTATGTCACCTCTAGTTTTGTAGATCTTTTGATGTTGTTTTTAATTATGTAATTTTTATTTTTTAATTTTACATCATTTTTCATATAAAATAATTTAAAAATAATTTTAGTCAAACATTATAATGTGTAATGAGAAGATAATTTTTGGATCGAGAGTATACTATATATACATTATATATATAGTCATCTCAAATCCATTTGCACATGATTCACATGCCTTTGAAGCAATCAAGCAAATGCTCTGCTTCGATCAGCTAGCCATGTGTGGTAGTTAATTGGCGTATAACCTTTTACCATTTCAGAGAGCTCAAATCGAGTAATACTTGTCACTTTTTGTACTTAATTTTCATTACATTATACTATTCTACACTTTTTCCCTCTGGTAAAACTTTTTAATCTTTTGCATCTTATTTGTCCCAAATAAAACATTTTAATTTGGTCTAAGAGTACGAGAGGAAGGAGAAAGCTTAATTGAGGAGAGGGAGGAGTGTAATTTACAATTATATCCACGTTCTTAACGGGAATGTTAACAAAGAACCATTCGTAGAAATGAATATACTCCGATACTAATTGGGGACTAAATTAGTAATATTTGATATGTAGGGACTAAATACGTAAAACGACCTATAAATAGAAACCTTTTATTGAATTTACTCAAAAAATATTTTGCAGGACGGAGGAAATATCAAAGTACATAATTTTGATTTTGATTTTTTTAGGTTAGCGGGTCAAGTTCTGTCGAATTTGATTAAGTTTTAATGGGTCATTTCGGATTCTGTCAGTAAATTTTTTGAATAAAATAAAAAAGTATTTTCAAGTTGTGTTTCGAGCGGAAAGACAAGTGGGCTATAATCATTTCAAATGCAATTTACTCCGTATTTTCTTTTGGTTCACAGTGTGTCCGCGTGAAATTAAATGCAATCAAACAATTTGTCATACACTCGCTGGATTTTTATAAAACCCCACCTCTACTGAGTCAAAGCTAATTAATTAATTAACTCTGAAAAATGAAAAACCCGTCCCTCTTTTCTCTCTCAGCTTTATCTATCCATATATATATCTCTCATGCACAAACGTTTGTTTGGAGCCAACACACAACAACACTTCTTCTTACTGACCCCATAGAAGAGGTAAGAAGAAAATATTAAGCAAACCAAACACGACATTCTTAGCTAGCTAGCAAGAATGGGGTCAAACAGGATAAGGGCGTGTTTGGGTGCAGCATTGCTGTGTTTGGTTGCTGTAATAGGGGGAGGGGAGGGGGTGTCACAGGTTCCAGGCTTGTTCATATTTGGGGATTCATTGCTTGACAATGGGAACAACAACAACATCAATTCTCTGGCCAAGTCTAATTACCTCCCTTACGGCATCGATTTCCCCGGCGGCCCCACCGGACGATTCTCCAACGGAAAAACCTCCGTCGACGCCATCGGTCCGTACGCCCAAACAAGTCCTTATTATATTTTTAATTCTACGCACATTTTCGTCCCTTAGCTTGTCTGTACCCGTGGTAGGGGTAAGGTATGTGTACGCACACATTTCCCAGACCTTATCTTGAAATTTCTTATTAATTGTGTTTAATAATTTATGCTGACAGCTCAACTCCTCGGGTTCGACAACTTCATCCCGCCCTACGTGACGGTGTCGGGCCCACAAATTCTCAAGGGTGTGAACTATGCGTCCGCGGCCGCAGGAGTTAGAGAAGAAACGGGTCGACAACTGGTAGGAGTTAGTTGTGACGTTATTATATACTCGTAATATTTAATCGATTAACCAGTTCAACTCATCAAGACGTGTATGGACAGGGTGGGAGGACAAGTTTTTCAGGGCAGGTGAACAATTACAGGAACACAGTACAACAAATAGTGCAACTGCTAGGGGGTGCGAACCAGGCGGCGAGCTATTTGAGCAAGTGCATGTACATAGTTGGGATGGGCAGTAATGACTATCTCAATAACTATTTCATGCCTCTTTTCTACTCCTCCAATCGCCAATACACTCCCCAGCAATATGCTGATATTCTCATCCAACAGTACAATCAACAAATTACTGTGAGTAGTAATTCATTAAATTTATCCATATTTAATTCTCACATTTGACTTTTTTGTCAAATTTTATAAATTTTTTGATATCGATATGCCGGAAAAATAAATTGTGTTTCGGCATATAAATTTATTATTAATGGTTTCCTTTTGAAACGTAGTTTTTGAAATAATGAAATTTTACAAAAATAAACAACAATATTAATGGTCAAAGTGTTACATACTCCCTCCGTTCCACAAAACCCTTCCTCTTTCGTTTTTTTGTTTTCCACAAACCACTTACACTTTCTATTAAAAAATCACTTTTACCCCTACTTTTTCATACCCTACCTATCACGTCATACTTTTTTCACTAATAACCAAACTATCCCATCTTACTTTTTCCCATCACATCAGGAGCAAAATTGGAAAGTCAACCAAAATTACATTTTCCTTATTTTTCCCCAAAGTCAAAACCGGAAGGGTTTTGTGGAACGGAGGGAGTATATTGGAGACAGTGAAAGGTCAAATAAAAAGAATAAATCCGGACGAAGAGAGTGTATTAGCGTACAAAATATTTGGTTTGTGTGAGATCACGAGTTTAAGCTTATGGTTAATTGGTTATGCATACTAATTAAAGAATTAAATGGTGCAGAATTTGTACAACTTGGGAGCAAGGAGGTTTGTGCTGATTGGGCTGGGCCAGATCGGGTGCACGCCCAACGCTCTGGCCCAGAACAGCCCAGACGGTCGAACCTGCGTCCAAAGAATCAACGACGGGGTGCAGTTGTTCAACAACAACCTCAGGAAGCTCGTGGATTACTACAATGGAAACAACACTAGCGGGGCGAAATTCATCTACATCAACACTTACGTGATCTTCCAGGATCTCCTCGACAACCCCTCTACTTACGGTAAATTACAAAACTTCCCCGAACCGCGATGAACAATGCAATTCATATGCCTTGAAAGGTATGGAATTTCAACTAACGGTACAATTTTGACTTTTCTTTTTCCGTGTGTTCGTTCAGGGTTTACTGTGACGAATGCTGGGTGTTGCGGTGTGGGGAGGAACAACGGGTTGATAACGTGTCTTCCCCTGCAAAGGCCGTGCCTGAACCGAAACGAGCACGTGTTTTGGGACGCGTTTCATCCGGGGGATGCTGCGAACACGATCTTCGGACGAAGAGCATATAGTGCTCAAACCCCCTCGGATTCTTATCCTTATGATATTAGTCGCCTTGCTCGAGTGTGAGTGAAGATGCACATGTAATGTCTTGTTGGGACTGAAGTTGAAATTGCATTCCATACTTTAACTAGTCGAGTCATAATTTCGGAACAAAAGTTGTTTTGCTTCTTCTACTAATTCATTTTGTGCCCCTGGAAGTTATTTGCGTCTCAATGTTTTTCTTGATCTTGCAGCTTCATCTTGTTCTAAATAATATACTCTGCTTTGATTTCTTGATTGGAAATTTGGGACAATTAACCCATTTGGTTCTTGATTGGGACAATTTGGGACAAATAAGGAAATTTGGGAGTACAATATACTGTTAGTCAATGTGTCCCTAAATAAGAAAGACTTCAGTTTTTGGTTCATACTGGATTTGTACCCGTACCTTTTTACGAAGTAACATTTAAAATAATAAAATATCATAGTTACGCTCACTTTATTTATTATGCATCACTAACCTTACTTATTTAATATCATCTACTTTTATTAATGTAACTTAAATAAATTTTTCATCCTTTTTCAAATGTCCTTTAAAGCTACTTCCTCCATCTCTTAAAAATTTTTAATTTTCACATTTTTCTTGTCATATAAAATATTTCAATTTGGGATAAATAGACACAATTACATTTAATTTTCTTAAATCTAACCGAACATGCCTCAACTACCTTCTACGCTCTACTCATTTTGATAACTCTCGAGACCTTCTCATTTCAATGGTCATCGTTTCACCTTAGTCAAACAGTACAGTTTCTACTCCCAAAACTCAAAAGATGAAATATTTTACGGGATTAAAAAAGTATAAAAACTCAACTTGAGAAGAATAGGAATTGGATGGGTCATGGGTCTTTTGCTAGCTGGACCATTGGGTGTTAAATTTATTACCGAGTAATGGAGTATTTAATTAATTTCAGACTATACCTAATAAATGTGTTATCTTTGGAATCTCATGATGCGACTCCACGTAGTTACATCATATGATATTCTATTCTATTATAAATTAAAGATAAATTAGAAATTACTCCCTCCGTCCTATAATGATCTTCTTGGTTCTGTTTACGAAGTTTGACCGACTTTATTTTTAATTCAATTTATTTGATTGTTGGTGTAAAATTAAAAAATAAAATTTATATATTTAAAAACTACATCAAAAGTTCTACAAAACAAGTAGTGACAAGACTATATTATTTTATCAAATACCTAATGAAAATACGTAAAGAAAGTGATTAAAGTTTGACCGTGTGAATAGTAAGTGGGAAGAACATTTCAGGACGGAGGGAGTAATATCAAAATTACAGATTTCTTGAATTCTATCTTTTCTTAAAGTGGAAATGTTTTGTGAGACAGCACAAACATTAAAAATTATATATAAAGTTCTTAAAATAAGTAGCGACAAAAGGTCCCATTAGCTAGGAAATATTTCCTTGAGATTGGTTAAAACTCAAAGCGAGTATTTACCAAGGATTTTATATGTCTGCCGCAGGGGACGTGAGGACGTGAGTAATGTTGACCAAATATGTTTTATGTTATAATTCTTGTACGGGGAAGATAAATGATTCTAGAAAATAAAAAATAAATAAAATTCTGAATTTATAATTTATTCTGAATATTACAAAATAAACAAAATTGAAAATAAATTATGAGAGGCAGCGAGGTCACTGAAGTAGTGGCGAGGACATTATGGCTTGAACCTGAACACCAGTGAAGATAATATGGCCTAGGGCAAAATGCAGTGAGGTCGTTATGGACTAAACTTGGAAAACAAAACATTGTAGAAGGACAATAGAGTCGCTAGAGCTGTCCTTAAGGTAGTAGTGTCCGCCAACCGTACCGGTGAAACGTAGGCACTCTCCTCCCAGGATAAAATCTCTATTGGGTGTGGTTGTGTGCTTCCGTCAAAATCTAATGGTTGTGTGCTTTCTTTTCTGAGAATCACAATTTTGGTACGTTGTACCGCCAACGTTCGGATCGCAATCGAATTGCAATTGGGTACGCCGCGTACCAATATAGAAGCTGCGGTTGTAGCAGCGAGTTCTGTGACTATGGTCTCGCATGAAGGAGGCGGCGCTCCCACAGGGTACCGCCGCCACCTAGCTTCCCGTTGTCCCTTCCCACAACCATACCACCTAACCTAAACAAATTCTAAAGACACTTTTTACTTTTCAATAACCGTATTAAACAACGTGAATCAAAAGTGCGAAAGATTTTATAGAAGAGAGGTGGTATACACTCTACCAAAAAGAAGTTCTTTTAGAGCATCTATCCCTCTTTCCAATAGCTCTAACTTCATACTTTTGTTTTCCAACCATTTTTTTTAACTCGGTAAAAGTTCAAGTAAGACAATTCTTGTAGAGAGAGTACTAAGAAGACAAAAGCTATGATTAGTATGTATAAATATGGCCATATATATATATATATATATATATATATATATATATATATAGGGCAGGCCATCCATGCCCGTCCAGTTCAATCAAAGCAGCCACAAAATAGAAGAGCAGTAGAAGATAACTTAAAATAGTTGCCAAACGTACTAAATAATAACGTAACTGATGTTAAAAACAGTAGAATTGAAATCCCATCTTCATGGACGAATTAATGGAGGCCCAAGACAGTTCCAGCTCTGCAAATATCATATCACACCCCTTTTTGCTTGCCCAAGTATTTTTTTAGCTGCATTAATTAAAGAAGAAGATTTTAGCTAAAGAAACAATTCAACCATAAGTCCAAGATCTAATTTTTGTAGGAGACCGAGGACGTTCTTGAAAAAACACTTCCGCCCTAATTTTTCGTGCATCCATAAAATATTTTTACTTTGCCTGAAATGTCTAAAGTACCTTCAAAACAACTTCTACCCGCGATATAATGAAATGTATTTTAGACATTTTAGCTGGAAGTAAACGTATTTTATGGGATGCGTAAAGAATTAGGGCGGAAGTGTTTTCAAGAACGGAGGGAGTAACGTAAGAGAATATAGTGGAGAAGCTTACACAAGCTGAAGGGGTAGATCATGTTCATGCTTGTCAGAGTAATGGGAGGAAGATTGAAACCCGCCGCCGCTGCCGGAGGCGTCGAGTTGGAGGTAGTTTCGTGCGTCGAATTGGTGGTGCGGCGGCGGTGGCGGAAGCTGCTCGTGGTGGTGGTGGTGGTAGCCGCCGCTCGAACTCCCCGGCATCAACTCCATATGCTGAGCTCTCTCTGTCTCTATTATCTACACACATACACACACACATTTTAATGCATTGTCATATTGACACCCCAAAAATTGTTATATTTTCAAATTGCATCCATTTAAAAAGATTGGGAAATGTATAAAGAGAGAGAGAGAACCTTGGCGCGAAGGTATTGGTTGTTATTATGTAAATCAATTTCCTGCTGCATGATTTACAGTGTAAAAACAAAAACCCAAAAACAGAATGTTAAATAATCCTTGTGGGGTAGGGTAAATTAAGGGGTGCATTAATTAATTCTTATTGACAATATCAGAAGTTACCCTTTTCTGCATGTAGTCAATTTCAGCAAATAGCATCTCATTCTGCAATTGTCATTAAAAGGAGGGTGTAAGCCATCAAAATACACACTCATATTTCTGTAAAATGAGTAACTCAAACCTTATTTGAATAACTATATATTACTGTCAATAATAATAGTCTCCCACTAATAGCCCTTCTTAACTTTTGTTTGGTTATCAAATTTAAACTATACAATTGTACTTTATTAATACACTCTTCCTTCATAATTTATCTTCTCACTTTCCGTATTTGTCCGTCCATAAATGATCTTCCCGTTTACTTTTTTGGCATATTTTTTTCCTTTAAACCACGTTACTCTCATCACGTCTACCTATTAATTACTATCCATACATTCACTTTATTTTACTTTTTGCAATGATACGATTACAAATATGTAAAGTCAATACATTATTTATTTTTTCTTAATTTGTGTGTAAAGTCAAAACGGGAAGATAATTTTTAGACGGAGGGAGTAATCTGCTAGATCAAACTTAAAACTTTATTTATAACATACTCCCTCCATCTCTAAAAACATGGGAGGTTTTGATTTTTAGGAGATTTAAGAGTGAATTTTGGTATTGAGTTTCCAAAAATGTCTTTTGATGTGATGGGCAAAAATAGAATTTGATGGATAGATTAATGTTGAATAAATGTGATGTGATAAGTAGGTTAAGGATTAGTAGGGATAAAAGTAATTTTTTAATAAAAATGAGAAAAAGTTTTTTGAGACGGAGAAAAAAAGAAAGGAGAAAATGCATTCATTTACTAATATTGATATACCTTCTTGGCTCGGACTTTGCTTATTCCTTTCTCGATTCTGGATTCAAGATTCTTGAGATCCCTTGGACTCAAAGCACCTAAACCTTCACCCATGTAATTCCTGTGTGTATATTTATATATGCACAATTAATTAACGCAAATTAATTACTACCTATAAAGCATAACAAATCAAAGATATAAGGGGCAATGAATGAATAATTAATTAATAAAGAATCACCTATTCTGGTTCTGCAAATTGCTGATTTGTACACGCAGTTTGGATGCTTCTTGCTGATAAAACTGGGTTTCGATTCCATGCAGGCCAAACATAAATATATACATCATCAAAAACACAAGAAAAACTCAACAGAATTCCAAATACATATAAAATGTTGTATTTTAAGAATTTGGTTGTCTTATTTTTATGGTAGCTAGCTAGAAAGGAGGAGCTAGCTGAGGTATATATATATATGGTACCTGAGCATTGGCTTCAGAAATGGAACCAGTATTACTGGAGTCTGAGCATGCCTTCTTGTACCTCTCAATTGTGGCTTTCACACTAGAAAAAATGGATTATTATATAAGATGTTAATTAATTACCGGTTCATCAAGTCATATTTTTTTCCTGAGTAATGCTAGAGTCACAAACAAATAGTTCACAAAATTTACAAACTTGCCTTTTTAACACTTTCGTAGAAATAAGATGCACTGAAATCATAAAAGATGGTTTAGTTTAAAATCCAGAAAAGGAAAGTTTGTGAAGTTTGTGAACTATATGTTTGTGACTCTAGCATTTTCCTTTTTTCCTAATCTCTAACATGAGTTTTTTTATTTTTTATTTTGTTTAACATGAGTTTGTTTATTTATTTTTTACTAACAAGGCTTGAATATTTTTTTACTCGTAAGTAATACGTAGTATACTCTCGAGCTCACATAAAATTCTTTAGACATACTCCCTCCGTCCCAAAAAGTCTTTCCTGTTTCATTTTTTGCGCATCCCATAAAACACTTATATCCCGCCTTGAATGCCAAAAAACTTTCAAAATAACTTCTACCCACAATAAACAAGAAATGTTGTAAATTTTGGGCATTTTAAATGTCGGTAGAAGTATTTTATGAGATGCGCAAAAAATGAAACAGGAAAAACTTTTTGGGACGGAGGAAGTATTCTTTAAGCGTCCAAAAAAAGGACTTAATCTGTTTATGAGACAAATGGAGCAATCCGTAGGAATTACATAATGAGTAAACCAATTGAACTTGTAAAAGATACTCCCTTCCCAAAAACTCCTTCACGTTTCAAAAAATGGTATACCACAATATCTTCTCCAATTTTATTAAAAAACTACTTTTACCCCTTACTTTTTCATATTTTTTACTAATAATCTATAAATCACATCAAGAATATTTTTGGAAAGTCAATACAAATTTATCCCTCTCTTATTTTACCACTTTAGTCAATGTGTCCCACTCTTTCTAGGACGGATCGTAAAAGTAAGGAAAAGATATCACTAGTAAAAAATCGGGCAAAAAGATCGCCTCATTTGCATCGGAGTCGCAAAAACCGATTCTAATGGTAAATAATTTCGCCAATCGGTTGTTATTTGAATCGGTTATTATAATAACCGATGCAAATAACCAATTACATCGGTTATTTTCTAAAAACCGATGCAAAAGCTTTAACCCAAATATTTTAAAAACGGTACAAGAGTCTTTTGCATCGGTTCTACGTATTAACCGATGCAAAAAAAGCCACCACTTGCCTCTGCGTACTCTTTACGCATTTATATTCAACTTAAGCCACAAATCTAAGTATTCGACTCCACCGGCCGCGCTACCAGGACGATTCCGATCTACAGCTTGAGCCCCTCAATGTCTACTACAACGATCTGCAGCTTGAGCGCCTCAATGTCCCCCGCGACGTCGTCATGGATCTAGAGCCTGGCACCATGGATTCTGTCAGATCCAGCCCCTACGGCCAGATCCTTCCGCCATGACAACTTTGTGTTCGGCAAGTCGTCCGGCGCTGGAAACAATTGGGCCAAGGGACACTACACCGAGGGCGCTGAACTCATCGACTCTGTCCTGGACGTCGTCCGCAAGGAGGCCGAGAACTCCGATTGCCTCCAAGGTGCGCGAATATACATAAACTCGTTTTTGTTTGTGTTTGATGGAGTATTTTTGCTTAAGAGTTCCTAGATCTGATGTGCCTGGAAGCGATTGCAGCGGAATTGATGGTTTAATTTTTTTGGTTTGTGTTTCTAGGGGTTCAAGTGTGTCATTCGCTGGGTGGTGGAACCC